ATATCCTAAGGCTTGAGATGACATTTCTCCCAAACCGTGGATCGATAACGATGAACGAGAACGTGGCAGTCCTAGATGATTTGTACATCGTTCTGTTATGAAGCTTGCCTGACTGGCACTGTCCAACAATGCTCTAACTTTGTGAAAACGTCCATGAATGTCAGAGATCTCTATAACGGCAGTTGACAGAAGAACTGTAGAATTTTGAGGAAGAATATTAGTTAAAGAGTTCACGTGTCTGGTTGAAGTTGGATCTGTTATAACGGTTGAGGTGGAAGGAGTTATAGCTGTAGAGGCGATTGGAGGAGCTACCACATTCGAAGATGACGAATTTGGGGTATTACCAACAAAATGTAATAATGTATGGTGCTTAGCCTGACAGGTGCGACAATTAAATTTTGAAGAGCAAACTGCAGAATGATGAGACGAGTTGAGACAATTCAAGCATAAATTATTTTGTTTAGCAAAGTTATATCTATCAAAAGGTAATTTATCGAGAAACAATGAACATTTATATAAAGGATGATATGAATTGCAAAGTATGCACTTAGTTGATGGTTTTATAGCATTAACAAAACAAGACGAATTAGGTTTAGGAGAAACAAATTGTTTAGTTTTATTAAAATTAACTGGTTTTGATTTGTCTATTCCACTATTCAAAGTGAGCGATACTGTTTCATAAGCAGTACATTGGTTTTGTAAAAAATTAACTAAGTCCTTGTAAGATGGGATATCTGTTGAGTTATATTCCAGTTCAAAACGCGTAACTGTCGCTTCATCTAATTTTGAAACTAAAATATGGAACATTACAAAATCCCAATATTCTACTGGTAATTTTAATATTTTTAATGCCTCCAAGTTTTCAGAAAAACGATCTAATAAATCTCTTAACTCAGTGGGTGACTTAGATTTTAATTTTGGAGCATGAATTATTTGTTTCCAATAAGAGCTGGCAAGAATACGAGTGTTCTGGTAACGAGCAGTTAAAGCGTTATATGCAACTGGATAGTTTTCATCAGTTAATGGAATAGATTTGATAATTGAAAGAGGATTTTTTGACAAAGACATCAACAAAAATTGAAACTTTTCAGAATTCGATAAAGTACTATTGTTATGAATCAACGAACGGAATAGATTGATAAAGGTAGGCCAGTCGTTAATGTTGCCATCAAATTTCGGGACATCTATTTTTGGTAAGCGCACATTAGGCTGGCTTGCACTAGTTACAGAAACTTGAGCCTCATTTTTCATTAGAGAATGATAAATCGATTTAATAGCATAGTAAGAATTGTCAAAACTAGTTACTGTAGCCTTTTCTGTTTCAAAATCTGGATTTTCAGTAACAGCTAAAGTGGATAATAATGAATGATGGTGATGTGTAAATTCCTCTCTAATATTATCTAAATCACAATATCGAATTTTAAGCATATCAACTGCAGTGTCGTCAGTTGACGCACGTCTAGCAAACACTTCAAGCTCATTGAGGCGATCGTGCCACAGGTCTCTCTGTGCTCTTAATTGTTTGAGTTTGTTTGCCATTTTTTCTTCTCTTTTCTTTTGTTAAAAAAAAGGAAGAAAACGAAGTAGACAGAAAATATCAAAAGGTTTAATGTAAAGTAAATCGATTTATCACCAGCTAGCCAAATTATTGAAAATAATATGTAACAACAACAAAATACTATATGGAACTAAAAAGAAGTCCACTCTGTATAAAATGAAAAAATAAAAAATATTGGATATGGGTGGTATGAATGCTCACTCCAAATTATAATCACCCGTACTAGGAAATTCTAACAAATCTATAACTAAATTGACGCGATAAGAGACCGTACTAATATCGTATCGCTGAGCGGTCTAATAAAAAGCCAAGAAAAAGAACTAAGCGAATGTGAAAAGGTTAAACAAGTAGTATCTAACTTACGATTATTAAATTCTATAAAATTGTTTAGAATTAAATAAACTAATGTATTATTAATTAATGAATTTGATTAAGTAGATGTATAGAAACGAATGTACGAAAATGGCACGCAATTGCAAAATGAAACGAAATCAAAATATCTAATTAAGTAACTCGAGTCGAGAAACTTGTTATGGTTAGAAAAACAATCGCGAAAACTAATTTTGAAAGTATCCTAGGCTCGATGGGACCAAAAAATGTTACGAAAATTTAGCGGACTGTATGTGAAGGAACAAAATTGATTACGAAAAGATAAAAGCGACTGGTTGCAAAGCGACTTACCGATGATGCAGCTCTGTTGGTGCAATGTACATTGGTAATGGCCTGCAGCTTCCAGTTTCTTTCTTGTTAGATTTTAACGAATATTCACTTAACGTTCAATCAGCGTGCGTACACAAACGAGTCGGTTTTCGAAGTGTCGCTTGCAACCTTTTTTCCTGGGAGGTAAAAATACTTTATACAAAAAAACCTAAATATTACAAAAACGCGAAAACTATAATTGCCAACACATAACAAATTTCTCTATGGAATAATTATTCAATAGTTTTAAACAAAAATACTTAAAATCTAATATTAATACTAAATTATTACTTGCGGACGCAACACAGCGGTTCTAACGATTACGGTGGGGAGTAACGAATCCATGAAACATTATATACATTATTATATAGGCCTTAATGAAACACTTTACATAACTTCATATGATTTTCGCTCATCATAAATAAATAAATAGAAAATAGGATAAAAAAATTGTTCCCTTGACTTAAGAGATGATTCCAAAAAATTTCAGTTATTCACTCAGAAAAAGTGAAAATATGAAAATGTGGAAGTTTATGTTTTCGAGGATGCTCTTTCAAAATTCGTGATCAGAAAAGACCTAACTCGAAAAAAATATGATTTTTGGAAAAATTTTGGATTTTAAATTTTTTTTTTGGATTTTTGGAAACATGAAATGAAAGTACCTAGAATACAGTATAAAGTNGGTTTTAATTTGGGCTGTTCCGGAAGTTCCATTATCGGCTTATTTATATACTTCTTCAGGAATTCTGCTTTCTGGTTCCCTTTAACAAAACTAATTCCAACCGTCTTGGTTGCTCCCTCAAGAATTTTAGGTAAATCTTCGAGAGATACATAACCATCATCCCATGGAATACCATGATGAAAATTCATTACCCAATTCGCCTCCTTTTGTAGCTCTGTTGATAGCTGATGAAAGGGAAAAGGTGGCTTAAATATATAATGGTAAGAAATTTTACCATTATAAATCCCCAGTTCCTTCACAGCCCACCTGATTTCTCCTTTCTTGTTACTAATCTTGAAGGACTGAATATCAACCACGCAATCAGAAGTCGTTTTTCTAAGGATGTTTAATTGCAAATGGATATTTCAATTCAGATACTAATATCTGCAATATGGTTACAAACGGTAGGACAGTGCTTATATATTTTCCAAATGATCTCAAGTCAGCGTGTTACGAAAATTTAGCGGACTGTATATGAAGGAACAAAATTGATTACGAAAAGATAAAAGCGACTGGTTGCAAAGCGACTTACCGATGATGCAGCTCTGTTGGTGCAATGTACATTGGTAATGGCCTGCAGCTTCCAGTTTCTTTCTTGTTAGATTTTAACGAATATTCACTTAACGTTCAATCAGCGTGCGTACACAAACGAGTCGGTTTTCGAAGTGTCGCTTGCAACCTTTTTTCCTGGGAGGTAAAAATACTTTATACAAAAAAACCTAAATATTACAAAAACGCGAAAACTATAATTGCCAACACATAACAAATTTCTCTATGGAATAATTATTCAATAGTTTTAAACAAAAATACTTAAAATCTAATATTAGTACTAAATTATTACTTGCGGACGCAACATACCGCCCACCATAAAATACAAAGTTGAGTATTTTATTGTTGTTGTTTTGGCAACGGACAAAGCTTAACAAGAGGTCTTTGTAAAATGCCTTTGCCAACACGAAGAGTTGCCACGCGAACAACTCCATCTTTTCCGGGATGAAGGTTAACAATGCGACCTATTCGCCAATTTAAAGGTGAAACAGTATCTTCTTTAATTAAAACTAATGTGCCAGGCACAATCAATGAATTATGTTTGTTCCATTTGTTTCTCTGAATTAAAGTATGAAGGTATTCTTGGTGCCATCGCTTCCAAAAATCCTGATGGAACCGTTGCAAAAGCTGCCATCTGCTTAAAGTATTTAGTTTCAGATGGGTGAGATCTCTGTCTGGCAAAACTGTTAATGGTTCTAAGGTTAGAAAGTGTCCGGGAGTTAAGGCACGAAGGTCGTTAGGATCAGAGCTCATGGAACAAATGGGACGCGAATTAAGAAGGGCTTCAATTTGGGTGAGGAGTGTGGAAAACTCTTCAAAGGTCAGAATTTGTTGTCCAATAGTACGAAAAAGGTGAGATTTTACTGATTTAATACCAGCCTCCCACAAACCACCAAAGTGAGGAGCTGACGGAGGATTGAAACTCCATGAGATTTTTTCTGTTNTCCCTAATCGACCTTGTATTAAATTATTCAAAAAATAAACCTTTAACAAAGATCCTATACACATCTGAAATTTGAACATTTTTGAAAAAATTTCTTAAATCTAAAAATGAAACAAATCGTTGAATTTTTTTCAAATGCTAGCAAGTTATAGTAGAGGATGAGTAGAGAAAAAATTGTATATAAACTTTATCGTCAAGCGTCGCGTACGAGGGTTAGGGGTAAAAAACGAAATATTTCTTAAACTGTTTTTTCGTTATAACTTGACTACTAAACGGGATAGAAAGTTGATTTTTTTTGTTATAAAGAAGAAAGAGAAAGCTTTCTTATGATGGTATAAAATTTGATTTCGCAACTAGTAAGATAATCGGGGGCGGGGTTAGCTCAAAATTTTACATAAGGATGAGAGGTCGCAATCTTACTTTTCGAATTCTGGGACATATATAATTTCCAAAAATGCAATTAAAAAATAAGCGACTTAAAAAAAAATATATGTATATATAAACAAAGGGTGTCAAATTACAAAACACGGTGTCAAATTTCAAAACAAAGGTGTCAAATTACAAAACACGGTGTCAAATTACAAAACATGGTGTCAAATTACAAAACACCGTGTCAAATTACAAATCGTGGTGTCAAATTACACAGCATGGTGTCAAATTACATTTTTTGCTTACTCAGCAGGAAATGGAATCAAATTACAAAGCACGGCGTCAAATTACATTTTTTGCTAACTCAACAGGAAATGGTGTCAGATCACAATTCTCAAAGAATAACTATGTAACAATATTTTAGCTGACATCAAAGAGTTAAGTGACCTGTACAGTTCAACGGAATTCGCCGGATGTTCGTATTACTGTGTAAGTTGCAACAATTTGATATATAAGTTTACTGAATTCGTTAAATATTATTCAGTCTTCTACAAGCTGAATAACAACAACGTCTAACGTCTCTCTGTACTAAAGTTAATTTTTTTAACATCATCATGTGCTCATCTCTATCCGAAGAGGCCCGCCTGGAGCTACAAGAGATGTGCGTGGCAAGTGGTCCTGCAATCGATGCCGCCATAAATGAAGCGTAAGTTTTTTTCTAATGTTTTTCAACGTTTTTTTTTAAACCATTTTTTCGTTTTTTTTTCTTACAGAATATCTGATGAACAACTTGATTTCGCCATCGACGCAATTATCGATATGGAGGCTTCGGTGCCAAGCGGTTCATCAAAGGCGGCGGCGGCGGCTAAAAGAAAGATAGAGGATGACGATGATGATGATTTTCAAAATCCTCCGGCATCTCACGAAGCTCCACTTCCTTCCAGGTAAATATTCAAAAAATAAATTTAAAAAAAGTCTGAAACCATCCTGGAGAAATATATAAATTATTATGTGTTAATTTTTGTTGCAGAGGCAAAAATATGCATCTGGCAAGGAAGAACATGAGGCCATCTTCGTCCGTCCGGTCGCTGTCACCAACGCTGTCCACCTCTTCATCCACCACCTCGGACGATTCCGAGGATTGGTTAGAGATCATAAATGAAGAGCTACAGCGGAGGGCGGAATTCCGTCAGAGAGTGGACGGCAAAATGAATAGTATAAAAAAGAAAATTAAAAGCACCGAAGACCTCATATCCCGCATCAAGGGGGAAAAAAATCGCTGAGGGTTCACAGAGAGACCCTCAGGGAACAGATTCGGCTCCTTGATGCGCAGGAGCTCTCCCTCGATAGGAAGGAGCGGTCTGCCAACGAGGCAAAGAAAAAATATGAGGTCATCGCTGCAAAATTTAGTGAAATTAATAATTAAATATAAAAATATTTTATTATTATTAATTTTATTAAATTGCAGATGCTTTTAATCTTCTTTTTTATATATTTATGTATTGTAATAAATCTTATATTTGTAGTGTAGTTTAAAAAAATATATTTAAATATAGTATTATTATTTATTCATTTGTTTTCTTTACCAATTGAAACCTAAAATATATATGAAATAATAAAACATTCTTTTTGTGATTACCTAGTTTTTGACAAGTAAAATAAAAAATATTTTTATTACAAATATATTTTCTTGTGAACATTAAAATAAAAATATATGCTACATATTAATTAAATAAACCATATTAAAAGAAGTAGTTTTTTTTTTATCATATAAAATATTATTAATTAATACAATTGATTATAGTTTACATTTCAAATATTAAAAATTAAATTAAAAACAAATATTACCTAAATAACGTTGTTAGAATATTTATGGTGTTTTTTGTTGTAGTGTTTTATGTTTTTTAAATTCTAAACGCAATACACCAGTCATGTGTAAGGTGGTTGAATTCCTGGCTAAGAAATAAACAAATTTCAGTCGATTTCAGGTACTGAAATCTTGAAAGCTAAAACGTGTAGAACAAAAATAAGCACCGAAATAAAATCTTTGATGTATATTCATTACTATTTAAGTTTTGCTTATATAAAATAATTATTTTAAAAACATGTTTGTAAAACATGTGTTTTCAGCTATCCTAACCCTACATTTTAACAAATTTTTCACATATTTACAAATAAAAATAAACAATTTTATATGTATGATTATGAAAGTATATGTTATAAGATTACTTACATGTGGATGTGTATTTACAAAAAATAGATATTTTCATAGATTTCAGTACCTAAAACCTTGTTGGTTTGATCAACTTTTATATCTGTTTTCATGTTTTATTGCAGACATCTTTGCACATATCATCCATGTTATTAGATAAACTTTGGACTATTCAGTTACTAAATGTTCAAAATTATTTGTCTTCAGATTCAGTGTATATACAAGGCTCGATAAAAATTGTTTACAAATTTCAGAAGAAAAACTATGACAAAACATTCACTGCATAATTTACTTGGAACAGAAAATATAGTATATAAGGATTTATTTTATAGTATATGTACGGGGTAGAATAAACAACATTCAATACAAATATTTTTATTTCCTAACTATTGCAAAACATTCACATGGAATATAAGACATTGTAGACAAAAGTTTATTTCAAATACATAACATTATCAAATATTAATAATCATTTAATTAATCCATTTTCATGCTTCATCTTGGATAAATATAATGTTCGTTGTTGTACCAATTTTTCCTTTACTAACCATATATACAGGTCGACTTCTTAATGCATCGTTAAAGTTTTCAATACCTTCCTTTTCAAAATGTATGTAAAATCTTCTTGGTAAGTAGCAGGTAAAATTTTCAGTTTCGGCCACAATACCGTCACCAAATTTGGTTTTACTAAACCTCAGTTTCACTATTTTATACTTTTGATTTATATGTAAATCTTTAATATTCTTCAGTTCTTTATATGAAGTTGCCTTGTTCAACTTTTGCAGATCCATGTTGAATGTAAATGAATGTTATAACTGAGTTCAAATAAGTCTCATATATGTATATATACCTTACCCGACCATATTTCTCCAGTACCTCCTCTATCTTATTTACCCTCCTACTTTTTATAGTGGAAGGGTTAGGCTATCAGGATATATATACCTGCATTAAACAAGTAAATGTATCATTATTTCAACATTTACAATTATTTAACTTGAAAATATATATTTTCTTATTAATATGGTTTACAGGGGTAAGTAATAATTGAAACCTTAATATCTCGGAAATAATAAATTATTTTTTTGTGATTATCTAGTTTTTGACTAATATATATTTGTTACAGATTTTGTCAATTGTCCATTAGTTCCCAATCATCGTCTCTTACGACGTCGGTTGGCAAAACATTTGAAAAAATGTAGACGAGACCTGTATCAGCAACAATTAGTTGCCCGTAATCGTTTCTTACGACGTTGGTTGGTAGAACATTTGATAAAATGCAGCCTGTATCAGCAACAAAATTTAAATCTAAGGAACTGGGAGAGCATCAATGATGGACAACAGAGCACTGTTAACAATGGGCCATGGGTTGCTCAACAGGAGGGACAGGGATCATATTGGAATAACGCTCCAAATGATGATCTCAGGAATTTAATTCAGAGAAACCGGGAGCGTATCAATGATGAACAACAGAGCACTGTTAACGAAGGGCCATCGAATGCTCAACAGGAGGTAGAGGAATCAAATTGGAATAACGTTCCAAACGAAGATCTCAGCAATTGGCTACCACATTTGCAAATGTGGTTAAATCTATCACAAAATAATGTTTGAATTATATTGTATTGTTTTAATAAATAATATTTTAAAAGCTCACTGTGTTTTATTTTTATATAACAAAAAGTAATGAAATTCCCATATTAAAACAAATGTTATATGATTCAAAAAAAACATTATAACATTAGACGCACTAGCAACAACAGTTACTTGGAATTATTTTTATCAAAGTAAGAACTAGGAACATGCTTCGATCCATCTGCATCCTTAAAATAATCCTTAGTTTCACATGGGAAACATTTTCTGTTTGGTAGGTCGCAATCTCCTCCGCATTTGATGCACTTATACTTTACTGGAACAGGCATATTGCAATCAATAAATAAAACTGTTCAGCACAATTCTAATGTAATAATGATTGAAGAAATCTAAAGTCACCTACTTTTATACCCACACACACACCAGACAGGTTAGGTATCCTCAAAATAATACACAAATATGAGTATAAAACTTTATTTTATAGTTAGAAATATGTTAACAAAATCTTTCATAGTAAATACGCGATCGATGATTATTATCTAAAATACTACTTATAGTAAATGATACATCGTTAATTCTTTTCTGAAAGTGAGCTCTATCACTGATCAATTCCATCCAATTTGATTTTCTTGCCTTTTCAAACCAGCCATCAGGGTCCATAAGTATATAAGTTTTATTATTATCCAAGTTAAACACAACCCGCTTTTGACCACTCATTGTATCAGAAGAAATGCTAAAAAATCATCAACAACCCTACTAATAATAATAGATCCATACATAAATAATACTTCTAGTCTTCACGAACGGTCATCAACCTCTACCGCGCAGACGTCAGCCGATGTGACGTAGCCGGCTGAAAGCTATGCCGATCCTGCTCCAGTCGCCATCTTGAATTGTGGAGCAGAATCGGCACAGCTATTCTACTGATGTCCCATTTTTACCATCCACTGATCCAACCACTCACGTAGTAGCAGCAATCCTACTACCACCTTTGCCCAGTCAAATGGACATTTCAAATAAAACATATCACCGGCTGAAGCTGAAATCCATCCATTTTGAGGATATCAACAGAATTATCCATCATTTATCTTCAATTAACCATATTGATCCGCTCCCCGACAACCAATCAAACCTATTATGGATCGTCTTCAACACGTCCATTATTTTCGTATGTCTATTTTCCATTTATATCTATTGTCGGAAGAGAATCCACACTTATATTCGGAAGATCCGCCAAAGAGGAGGAAATTCCCAAGACCCAGTCGAGGACGTCCCAATGGCACCGTTAGGTCCCCATGATCCGTTCTAAAGGGGGAGGAGTGATGTACCGCGTATAATATTTTTTTTTGTTGATAATGTAATGCTTAGATCATAATAATAAATGTTATGAAGCTTCCGTATCGCATAGAGATAAAAATAATACTAGAGTCAGCTTTTTAAATGAATATATAAACTCTTTGCAAATCTTAACATTTTAATTGTAATATTGTCACGAAGTGAATAAAGCTTGTTCTTAAAAACATCATACTTCGAGTTAATTATTTGATAATTAATTTCACAAGTAAAACTCGAGTGACGCGGATATTGAAGCAGAAGAACAAGAATAAGAACACCAACACCTATACGAACACCAACAGCAACACCAACACAACACCAACACCAACAGCAACAATAATAAAAATAATAATATATTTTTTTTATTGACCACTTTATATACAAAAAAGTACATTTAAAATCACAATAATGATATAAAATACAAAGTATAGTTATGGCTTAATATTAAATAAAGCACATAAATTCGTAAACACTATAAAAACAATGTTTTAACAGAAAAGATTTGACAGTATTAGGAAATTTTGTTAAGGACATGGTTGTTAGCGGGACATCCTTATAAATAGCGGAAAACTTGTTAAATAATAATTTAATTTAAGATTTATCTTACTGAGATGTGTCATACGTATTCGAGAAAATGGAGGCACCACATCACCCGCCTGTCTGGATACATATGTATGTATGTATGTCAGAATGAATTATGTAATTTCCTTTATTTTCATATATTTGTAATAGTGTTTGAAGTATGTAAAGACACGGATGTGGAAGTATGTTGTATTTTTTAAAGAGATACCTACAGTACCTACAGGGCACTCCATCTATTATCCTGATGGCAGTCTTCTGAGTGTCGATACTTTATTTGCTTTTGTGGATTGCCCCCATAAGATAAAGCTGTAAGAAATGTGACTCTGAATAAGAGAAAAATATACAGTACGCAATACATATCCAGGTAAATACAATCTCATTTGACGTAAAGCAAATATTTGAGAAGATATTTTTGAACAGAGACTTTGAATATGTTCACTCCAATTAAGACTGGTATCAATAACGACACCAAGCAGTTTAACCTGATCAGAGCGAGCGACCCACTTACCTGAGCTAATGAGCAAATTTTGTGTTTTTGAATTATTCAATTTTAATTCATTAGCATTAAATAAGTCATTGTGCCCTAGACAGTTTCTGCCTCCACTTAATAGAGTGGTGCATCAACGTACAAGACACAAGTACTATTAACTATAGAGTATGGTAAATCATTAATATATAATAGAAAGAAAACAGGTCCCAATACTAATCTCTGCGGAACCCCATTTTCTATAGAAAGAATGGTGTTTTTTTTATTGTGTAAACAAACTAATTGTTTCCTATTAGTTAAATGTTATAAGCTTAAGTTCGTTACCTCCCGTAATATTTCAGTTTCTTTAATATTTTTTTGAACACAATCAAAAGCCTTTGTTAGGTCATACATAGTAATATTACTATGTGCTCCCTCATCAACAACAATGTTTATTAGCTTCAAGAGAGCTTCGAATCAGAAAATATGGGATATTTCTCACAGTATCCCACAAGTTTATCTCTGATTAGGGTCTCAAATATATAATTTATTATGGGAACAATTGTAATGGGACGAAAATTGTCTAGACAATTCTTATCACCCTTTTTATGTAATGGTGTGAAATTAGGAAAACATGTTTCTTCATGATGATGGCAAGGATAGGAGATATCGCATTATATTGGAAGCTGTCACATTGGAACCGGGCACAACAAAATAACTAGGTGTGTGGCAGACACACAGGAAGGTGAAGAGATTTTTATGAAGACAAAACTGTTTGAGGCAGGCAATTATACCGGGGCAATGCCTAGTGGTGTGGTGAGATGTTCAGGCGGAAATGTGCGTATATTAATGAGGAATCTACAGCAGCTCCAGTGGAAGGAAGGACGAGTGGTGGCTAGAACTGTTAGGTGCAGAGAGGCGGTTGAACGAGAGATCATGTCAGCAAAAAAGGATCTTAAAGTGTTCAAACTATTAATTTTTTAGAACTTAATGTAGGTGATATAAGCGATAATGATAGAACTAAGTTAACAGAATTATTGTCACGAAAGGCGCACTGTTTTTCAACTGGTGAAGGCGATTTAGGTTTAACACAGCTAGGCGAAATGAGATTTAAGTTGTCAAAAAATGTACCTGTGTATTACAGATCATATAGGTTATTATGTTCAGAGATGTGCAAGGTGAGAAATAAGGTGCAAGGACTTTTAGATAGTGGTGTTATTAAAGAATCAATATAATTCTAGTAAACAAAAAGGATGGAGGAATCAGGTTATGTGTTGATTATAGAGCATTAAATGCGATTACAGTTAAGGATAGGTACTCCCTTCCGTGGATTGCAGATCAGCTGGACCGATTGGCAGGTAGGTGTTTCTTCACGACATTGGATATGGCGCAAGGGTACCATTAGGTGGCTATGCATTCTGACTCTAATGATAAAACGGCATTTATCACACCTGATGGGCAGGGCAATACACCGGTCCCTTTTGGATTGGCGAATTCTCAGGCTGTATTCCAGAGGATAATCAATAAGATGTTAGGTGGGTTGCTACACGATCAGGTATTAGCCTATATAATTGGAATGACTTCCATCTGAGACAACTGAAGGTAGCTTAACGCTTTTGGAACAGGTGTTGGATTTGATAGAGCAGGCGGATTTTAAATTAAATATGATGAAATATTCGTTTTTGAAAACATCTATTGAATATTTAGAACATGAAGTGAGTGGGCATGGAATTTTCAGTGCCAACAAATGTACATGAGGTGCAACAATTCATTGGTTTGGCTAGTTATTTTCGCAAGTTCATTAAGAATTTTGCTATCTTGGTGCGTGCGTCCCCTTACTCGGCTTACGGCGAAAGGGATGGAATGGCGTTGGGGCGAAAATGAGCAGTCGGCGTTTAAAAAGTTGAAAGTGTTGTTAACAGAACGACCGATATTGGGGTTATACCGCAACAAATTACCTTCGGAATTGCATACTGATGCTAGCAAATTAGGATTAGGTGGTATATTGTTTCAGAGACAACCAGCAGATAATTTACAGTAATTTGATATTTCACTAGAGCAACAACAAAGACGGAGGTTACTATATCATAGTTAAGAGTTAGAAACGCTTGCATTGGTGGAATCAATTGGGCGATTCAGAGTCTCCTTGCTAGGTGTTTATTTTAAGCTGGTGGCTGATTGTTCTGCAGTAAGGGCAACACTGTCTAAGCGAGATTTGGTGCCAAGGATAGCTAGATGGTGATTGGCAATTCAGGAATACGACATGGAAGTGGAATATCGACCAGGCGATAGAATGAAACATGTTGATGCTTTTAGTCGTAATCCAGTACTGGTGAATTTAGTCACTATTACTGAGGCAGACTGGTTTGGGAACTGGGACTGGTTGAGGGGACTGGTTCAACTGAAGGACGAGAAGGCATAGGTGATAATCAAGGCGTTAGAAAGAAATAAAGCTGACAAGGTTGTGCAAACAGCTTTTATGGTCGTCTGTGGCTTACAGGAGAAGGTTACAGATTATACGTAGGTACCTGCAATTGCAAAGTTTATCATGATGATGACATTGGACATCTTGGATTTGAAAGGTGTTTGGAACTCTTTCCCAAAAACGAGGCGTTTTGTGCACAAATACACAGCGGCATGTTTGAATTGTGCATATGCGAAAGGTGCTCAAGGGCGAAGCGAACGATTTCTCGATCCTTACGAAAAGAAGGCGATTCCGCTGGATACAGTGCATATCGATCATATAGGTCCCTATGTCAAAAGTGTGAAACAAAATAGTTATTTGCTGGTAGTGGTAGATGCGTTTACCAAATATATGTGGGCGAAGCCTACTAAAACCTTGAGTTCTGCAGAAACCATTGAGAAGCTAAGGTGGTTATTTGGCGAATTTGGGTACCCAAGGCGTATATTTGATAGGGGATTGGCGTTCACGAACAGGGCGTTTGCTAACTTTGTAGGTGACAGGGGCATTAAGCACGTGGAGAATGCTATTGGAGCCTCTCAGGCGAATGGTCAGGCAGAACGGGCGAACCTCACAATAATTGAAGCGTATACGTGTGTTCTCTTATCAAAGTGGGTGAGTAGCAGATTTGTCAGTGGGTAATAACACTGCTGCACAAGAACGGAAGCGATTGCATGCAAATAGGCGTAAAGCAGGTGTAAGATTGCAAGAGGCTGCATCTCGAATGAGGGCAAGATATGATAAGATAAGATAATGAGGCATAAAGTTGCAACCGAATGCAAACTAGGTGATTTAGTCTTGTGGCGTCAGGCAGCTACTATGTTATGTGAAAAGGGTATTAGGAAGATGTATATGATGGTCCATATAAGATAAAAAAAAGGTGTTAGGCAACGACAGGTATGAGATTGCTTCATCGTAGTGTTAGGGACTATAAGCGGTTTAGCGCTGTTATTGCAGTAGAAGCCCTGAGACGTTATCAAAGTGGTGCAATTCATGTAGGTGATGAGTCTGATGATTCTTTGGGCGACTACGATAGGGATCAGTCTAGCCGACAGGTTCTGATTGATCTCTTAGAGAGTTAGGTGAAAATCGTGTATTAACGAAGATATGAATGTTGCAGGAAGGCCGATTGTTGGAAGAATAAATCTGGACAGGCGATGACATCTGGTAGCCGATAGCAGAAGTTTGGCGAAATAGGTTTTGGGCGGATAGGAGCCTGACATCTGGCTTGGATGGTTTAACAGGCAGGCGTTAAGCGGGGACGGTGGAGGGCATTAGAGATGGGTAACGCAGCAAAATTTCCGGCGTTGATACACTAACTCAAGCGCACACTTGTGAGTTAACCAGAGATATAGAGTGGGGAGAATACTCTTACAACCTGCGCAAGCGGCTAATAACAATGGTCGCCATTTTGAACATCATGGTTGCAAACACAGATAAATTTTAGGGAAATTTAAATAGGAACAAGGAGAGGCAAATTTAAAATACAATACCAAAAATAAAGATTCAAATTATATGAGCAACATTTTTTATTTTAATAGGTTTTTCAGAAATTGGTAAATATCTAAAAAAAATTATATTTTGAAATATAAAGATAAACTAGTATAAAGAAATAATGATTTTACATATTTTACTTATTGATGATTAAATAATATTAACTTAGTTGTTTTCGTATTAGATGTCGCTGAATTTTTTCAGTATATTTTATTTAGTTTGCCTAAATTAAAAAATCTTATACGCATCTTACGCATATAAGCAAAACAACACTTTTCGTTAGAATTAATAAATGACTTTCATGCGAGTGATACATTGTGCTCTATTAAACTAGAGAACAGTTCTCCTGCACAATTATAAAATTGTTGTTGTACCACAGAAGTAACAAATACAATCATGAAATCCTTTTCATGTGGCAATTTATTTTCAGTGAATACTAAAAGTCGTCTTATTGCGGTAATTCTGAATATTCTTTCTTAATTTTATCAGGTGATATATTAAAATAATGTAACATGTAAGCTAAGCGATATAGTCATTGGTTGGGGTTGGAGACAAAATACATGTAACGTGTATAACTCGCATAACCTAATTACTGTTCTTTCTAAGATGTATCTATATATGTTCGGTTTGAAAAAACTTTTCTCCTTGTGCTGCTATCAGTAGGTACTTGCAGAAAGTATCTTGACTAGATGACACTTCACTAAAATAATAATAATAATATAGACTGCCAGGGAAAATAATATTTATTTAAAAAAAATTGTATTAACAAAAAATAATGTTACCAATGGTTCTGGTTAAGCTTAGAACGCTCTGCCGTATCATCTAATGACATCGATGAAGTAAATGGAGCATTTTTTTGTATGGTATGTAATGTTTCAACTGAACTTGTGGATGGAGCGTCAGCTTTATTAGTTAAATAGACTTCTAAATTTGGAACTTATAACCTTAACAGTTGGTTATTAAGTGTGTCAGTTGCTTTTAACACACTGCGCGGCAGCTAATTTTTGTCGGGGAGCAAGGTAGTGGGTGAGAAGTATTTTTTTTTATTACAGAAAAGTACAGATAAGCTAGGCCTGGGCGCCAGCCGAAACAAATCGACAAAATGGGAAGAGGAGCGTAATACTTACACAAAATTTTGACCTTAAAATGCAAACTTTAATGTGAGCTAAAATGTATAAAATTCTATGACTTAGATTAATCAGGTAATGATTTTGTAAAAATGATTAATTAAATAAGTACCTAAAATTACTTAAATACTACTACACATTATGAACATTATTTAACGTATTTAATTATTAACAAATGAGTGGGTATTATTTAGTCATCAATTACACGGTAGAGAAATAATCTTCGTGTAGGCGTTATATGCCAGGTAAGTATTTGTCTTACATTAGTGTATAAGCAACTCAAAATGAGCATAAAAAAAATAAAACAATATATCAAATCCCCAGATAACAGCTGTTATTCGGTTTACAAAATTACTATTTATCTGTTATACGTTGTATAATTTTATTGACACCAAAAGCCAAAGTGGCATATGTTAATTACCATCTAATACCAATAAATATTATTATAATTAGGTAAATAAGTTGTTCATATATTTTTCTCTAATAAATAATTGTGAGAAATAGATTGTTAAAAAAATTGTAGAACTCGCAGCAGAGAAAATCAAAAGTTTCAAGGCAAAATGGTCGACGATAACAGCTCTCCACTACTTCTTTGGGATTTGCAGAAGACAGCAAGATGTTATAACAAATGTAAAAGTACCTACTCACAGTCTCAGGATCACGTAATCAAGACAGCTCAGCAAGTGCCTTCGGCTTACGTAAAATACAGCGGCTACACGGCTACTCTTTCTAAGGTATCGGGTCAGATAAGTATAGGACAGGCAAAGGACTTCGCTAACCATGTGACATAATTTTCTTCTTTAATTTTTCAGGCTCATTTATTGTTCAACATCAACGGGAACAGCAATGGCATTAGCTACGGTATCAGGGAGGAATTTCGAGAAACGCCTATGTACAACGTTGGATAGAAACTTTATCAACAGTTTCGTACGTATATCTTAAGATTCCTAAGATTCCTAAGACCTACAAAAACCAAATCGTCTAAGCAAAACGTGCCAAATACAATTGCGGATAACAAATAATTATCAAATTATGCATTTTTCAAATAATGAAACACTCACCCTAGATTTTCTGAGGCCTTAACACAACACAACCTAATGTGTGTAATATTCGTCGGAAATCCCGCACGCTAATCGCTATCTATCTCCCGCATACGTTTGCCGAACGCGCGCAAAAAGCCTTAACATTTTTTGTATTCTATCCAGCCAACGTTCTACATGCCTTCCATTTTTAACAATAATATTTTTTAAATAAATAACAATCAGATACTCTGCATTACTAAAATTATGCACAAAGAACTAAAAGACGATTACTGTTTTAATTATATAACGTAATATTTGTTTACTATCACTAGATATTTCATCTTTGCCTTTTTCGGGAATTTAAGGGGTCTAAGGGAGATTATGGAAATATAGGGAGCCATGAATTAATACTTATAAATATTTGCCCATATTTTTACATGATGTACGTTTATTTTTCTGTATGCAACCAGAGTTACTGCCTTTAATTCCCACAAAGACAAAGTGTTAAGAGTCGCATATACATACAGTGGTGATTTACTTAATTTATTAATTTTCTTGTGCCTCTATCGCTAACTGGTATTTGAACGTTACACACCCCCTCTTGCTACTAGCAAAATTTTTCGAAGAAACAATTTTTCTGTAAGACAACTAGATAAAGATAAAACATGCACTACAATTATTTTACTTAATACTCTTAACTCTATGAAAAGGCCGGTCCTAATATTAAAACTATGCAAAAAATTAAAACTACTATCTTACACTAAATGTCACATTCGAGAAACGATATATCTACGAAATTTGTTTACTCAATGCATGCCTCCCTAAATATATCTTACCGTGCACAGACAATGGCTAGATTTTGGATCAAGTGTACTGAATTTCATGGTTAGAATCCTTCTCATTCATGCAACATTCGTTCACATTCACACAACATTTACTTCAGGCTTCATCATCGATGGTATATGGCTTCATATCTTTTACGTGCCACTGTCCTAAATTCTTTCCTGTTTTGTCATCGACTAATTCATAAACGAGGTCGTTTTTTTGTACAAGTACAATTCGGACGGATCACTCCTTCCTTTCCACATCCATAACATCTAAGGGGTTTTCTAGTAGATGAACTGCTGGTGGACGCAATTTGCGAACAATTTCTTTTAATATGTCCCACTGTATTGCATTTGAAACAGCGAATTTCAGATATCTGCTTGATTTCTTAGGAGTCACTTGATTTTTTCTGAACATAGTCATCATATCTTCTACTGTCGTTTGTTTCCTGGGAAAACTCAGTACCCTTTACCGAAGTATTTTTCTGTAATGAGTTCAACTTCTTCTGGACAGTCTTCAGTATACCTGCTTCTTCCAAAGAACCGCATATGTCCACGAGATCGTCAAGTGTATCCACTTTTTTTAACTCCAGGTGAATGTGATATTCATCCAATAAATTCTTCTTAATTATCTTCAACTTATCTGAAGTGGTAGCCTTTACAGTCAATCGACCAGAGATTTTCCATTTCTGATATAAAAATAATTCCGCGCTCATCAGGTCGTTGTTTTCGGTTCCTGATTGTGTCCCAAATATCATCATCATTTTGTTTCTAATTCGTCGAAACCATACTTTTGCTGGTCCATCAAACAACTCAACAGCAGCGGATCGAAATAATTATTCTTTGTTAACCATCCTTGAAAAACTTAACTCATTGACTTGTTCCAAAAATGAGTCCACGGATGACTTCGGTGTTCCATCAAATGTCAGTCCAAATTTTTAAAGTGAGAACTTTTGGTTGCCGGTAAAACATCAGCCGTCGCTGCATTATTGCGTCCAGATTCGCCCTGTATATATTTGTTCCAAGCATCTTCCACGTCTTCCACTAATAAACCTATTAACCTATAATATCATTTGCGTTATCAGGAATGCGAAGCAACCTACCTTTGACATGATTTATTCGACTTCGTATTCTCTTATAAACTTCCTTATTAGTTCCATTAAAATCATCCGCAAGAGGAGTTAACGATTGAATACTATCTTTTATTTCCTTTTGTTCAAGCTCGAATGAAAAATTTGGAGTTCTGTAAATCGGAGGAACAGGTCTCGCTAAATCTTTCTGAAACTCTCTTCTTAAATATTTTCGTTTTTGTGACAAATCCGCCGCAGATGTGGTAACATTCCTAATTCTCAACTCATAATTCACCTCATGCGTTCTCAAATAATTGGGATCTATGTCAAAAATATTTGCCATTTTGTAAAAAGGAATAATGTGAATTAATATGTGGAAATCCAAGGACCACTCACCACCGACGCACAAAAACCGAACCGTATTTATTTATAAAAAATTAAATGCAATGTGCACTAAGTTACACCACCAGTGACAGCAACTACAATACACCCTGTATAAATATGGTACATCCACTATAACAATGTGCATAAATATATCACACTAT